CCCTAAACCCTAAACCCTTATAAATTTATTGCAACATTAGCTTCCCGACGCCGACCCAGGATCGGCAGGGGCAGATCCGCGGATACGAAGCAACCTGCTGCCGCGGAGGGCCAGGCACTGCCTCCCCCAAGCATGAGTACTATAGGGGCGGCTTACATAGTAATAATAATAATGGTAAAAAGAACAATAATGACAATAGTAATAATAATGATGATCGTAAAATATTATGTCGTCCTTTGTTTCGCTCTTCGACAGGCTTTCGCCCGCATCACCCAAAAACCCTATTCTAAGTATTAAGGCCGCTAGATTACTGCTCCACATGCGTCGGTAGCACTTAAATTAGGGTATGCGGTTCAGAGTTCTTGAATTAAGATCCATGCGTCTCTCTTAAGGTTCAGGGATGTCGGATGTGGGGTGTAGTGTGGGGTTCCAGATGTTTCCTGTCTCCTAACCATAACAGGATTAGTGTCGGCGCAGCCCAGACGAGGCCGAGATACTTATGCAGTGGTATACGGTCCGCTTATAAGCAGGCATAGCTTAGCAACTCATTACACAGGTAGCTGGGCTTCTACTTAGCCTCAGGTACGACACTGCCTTGGAAACCCTAGGCTCTAAACTCTAAAGGCCCTAACCCGCAATGATCCTCAGCTCGTTCAGAGCTCCAAAGGAAGGGAACTCTAATTTGAACCCTAAACCCTAAACCCTAAACCCTAAACCTTAAACCCTAAACCCTAAACCCTAAAACCCTAAACCCTAAACCTTATTTTCTCTCAAGCGGTTGCAGGTTTAGGGCAGGGACTCGAGGCTCGAGGGTTTGGGGTTCTTGGTCGCCAGGACTTGCGAAACTGGATTGTATCATTATTTATTATAGTTTTGTTATTGTTGTTTAATTTCTATGGTTTTTGTTATCATTACTTTCAGTATGATAATTCTTATTTGTTGTGTTTACTAGTTGTGATTCTTTGGACGCTGGCCAGGTCTCGAACAACTTCTAGATCCACATGGGGTGTTCGTGAACTTGGCCGGCGAGGTTTTCATTGCCGACGCTTGGTCTGGTGGGATGCCGTGTGACTTTTGAATGACATGCCTAGCTGTCTGCCATCGACACTCAGCTGTTTGACTCTCATGTGCATCCCTCAACCGAAACACTGAAGTGGTGTCTTAAACGCGTCGAAGTCGATCTGGGGTGCAGCAAGGACACCGGGAACAACCGCATCCAGTGGGTCGTTGGTGCGGTGACCACCACCATTGCAGGCCAGGCAGATCGGAAGTAATCTAGGGGCCCTTAATAATTAGAATGGGGTTTTGGGGGCACAATATACCATAATTATGATAAGGTGCGCCCAAAATAGTATTTGGGCCCCTTCATTATCAACACGGGGTGAAGTTGAGGCCACGACTTCCCTTTCAACTGAATCTGTAGCAATTTCGCGGATCATACTTTTTCTGTGTCATATGTCGGCTGCTTGCATATGAAACTCGCCGATCCTAGAATGGCACTCTCACTCATCATTGCAGACCGGTGCATTACAGATCCTGATGCAAGAATCTTGCTTAGAGGTATGGCTTCTCCTACTGCTTTGATAAAGCCTACATCTGTTTCGAGCAGTGCTGGAAGCAAGGGACCAAGGACTCACTCACGAATCACGAATCCTGCTAAACCCCACCTTTCATGCAAAGATCGGCAACCCAAATGTCTGAATCAAATTCTGTCTGATGCACAGTGATAGCATAGAAGCAGATCGATAAAAACAAAAACACATGTACATGTACATGTGTATGTACATAAGGATAGGTATATGCATGTCTTTACAGACTGGTCCTTTAGCGACCAAAGTTCCTCCTTCGTAAATCTGAGCAGATCGTTCCAAGCTGCTTCTGCTTAGAGCCGACTTGAAGGGTGAGGGGGTAAAGTATGTACGGCTATGATTCAAGGTAAGTATAGCTATACGGCTATACCACGCTACATCTACATATGGGACTTTCCGAAAATAAGGGGTACCTTCTTTGGGGGTCCTTATAATAAGGATCCTACTATTTAGGGTACTATGTTAGGGTCCCCCATCTTCGGAAACCCCCATATAGCCTTTAAGTATGCCCTCCCAGAAGTTGAGTCCGACGTCACATGGTCTGGCCTCTTAGATGCCAGCTGCTGCAAGCCTCAGAAAGGCTGTGGACTGGAGTCTTTGGGCCCTAACCCCCTACACCCAAAGCCCCTAAACGCTAAGCCCCTAGGCCCTAACTCCTTAAAGCCATAAACCCAAAGCCCCTAAACCCCTAAACCCTAAACCCCGAAACCCCTAAAACTCGAAACCCTGAACCCCTAAACCCTGAACCCCTAAACCCTAAAACCAAAAACCCCTAAACTCTAAACCCCTACATCCCTAAACCCTACAACCCCCAAAAAGGATATGGACTGGAGTCTTTGGGTTGCCGGGTTTAGGACCTTGGCCCGCCCTGGGAGTGTCGATCCATGAAATATTAGGGCCACGGTTTAGGGTTTAGGGTTTAGGGCCTACAGAATTACCAAGACTATTTTGGCGTGTTATATCAGTATATGGTTGCATATGATGACACGAATCAACACGGAAAGCACGGGCCCCCACAACGTACCTTTCTGCATTTTGGGTGGTTCCTCATTACGTATAGTTATAGTATACTATACCCCAAATAAGGCCCCTATATTAACCTTAAACCCAGGACCCTAAACCCTCGACAGGCCTCAACCAAGAGGCACCCAAGAGCAGCCCCAGAATGCCGTAAACAGCCGAGCTTACATGGCAAGCCCCGAATCCGAAGGGAGCGAAGGCTGTTTGTCTGCGTTCTGAAGCCTTCGAAGCCTAAACCCTAAACCCCTCAACCCTGAACCCTGAGTCCTAAACCCTAAACCCCTCAACCCTAAACCCTAAACCCCAAACCCCTCAACCCTAAAACCTAAACCCCTCAACCCTAAACCCTAAACCCTAAACCCTAAACCCTGAACCCTGAACCCTAAACCCTAAACTAAAGGGAAGGGAGTCGTCTGTGCTGTCAGGTGACCTCATCCGGCCAGAGGCCCTCAGTCGAGCGCTTGTTGGGTCAAGGTTTCAAGATGGTGTGTTTAGGGTTTAGGGTTTAGGGTTTAGGGTTTAGGGTATAGGGTTTAGGGATGGTGTGGTCCGTAGTACTCGGAGGTTCGTGGGTAGTTATAAGTGGGGTTATAAGTCCCCTAATATGGGTTATAAGTATCGTTGCCCTACTTATAACCCCAGTTATAACTACCCATGAACCTCCAAGTAGGACTAGGTTCCCCAGTAGTACCCTTTTGCCTTTTTTGTTTTTGGGGTCCCTTACTAAACCCAATGAGTAGGCAAAAGGGTGGCCTTATTGTTAGTGGTCTACTGGGGAACCTAGAGGAGTTTGGGGCTTTGTGCAAAAACGGTGTCGAAGGCTTCAGCATCGAGTTGTAACCGTAATTCCTGAACCCTGCAGGTTTTCGGATCTCAGATTTTGACGGTGTGGCTCCAGGGGTGTGAGATGTAAGGCGACGGAAGGGTTCAGAGTTAGGTGGGGTTTGAGATTACGGCGGTTCAGGGAATACTCATAACCATCATGCACTAAGAAAGAACAACAATGCAAAATTGCTTTCGCCCAGACACAGACTGCTCAGAGCGAATACCACTCGCGGGTCTGGCTTCCGGGATTGCAGTCCCCTGGTTCAAGATCAGATCTCGGATCCTGCACCCGAAGCCCGAAACCCCACACACCCCAAATTCAATTGCTGAAGCTAGAAGACAACGCAACAAAAAGAGGTTTGCCGACCTGGGAACTATGGCTTGGGATAAGTGATTCTAAGAACTACCTGGGACCCCAAGTAGCCTAGTTTTTCTAAGGACCAGCATAAGGAAGTCAGAACTGGGAACCCGAAAGAGGAAGGTGCTATAGGGTCCAGGTACTAGATGCAATACTGTACCATACTGCAGAGTAAAGGGTAAAGATACCGAACGCTGGTGGCGGTTCAAGCATGTTCAACGGTCGGCTTTGTAGTTGGGGCTCTAGAATCCCTTAACCCTAAGCCCTAAACTAAACCCTTCAAACTGTAGCTCTGCGCACCGGGTGAGTGGATTCGTCTCGCTGCTTACGAAGTCTACGGGGTGGGCCCGGATGGCTCTTTTTATTGATTGATGGTAGCCCGTCCCCTTAAGCCCTAAACCAGAACCTTACGCTTTCAATCCTTAACCTAACGGCTGTGTAGCAAAAGGGCCACTGAGCCATCTGAGCCCCAAGGTGATCAGTGCAGCACTGGACCACCGGCTAGACCCGGTTCATAGACTGGGCGTAGGGCTTGGGGTTTAAGGTTTAGAGCTCATGCGGCTGGGGTGCTTATGGTCTATGTGGCTTTGGGTGGTCTACGTTAGGATAGGGGTCTAGAGGCTAGGGCTACTTGAATTTCATTACTAACCACGGCTGACGATGCCAATCCCTCGACTCATCCTCAACATCACGACCGTCATCACCATCATCATCATCATCGTCATCATCATCATCATCATCATCGTCATCATCATCATCTTCATCTTCATCATATTCATCATCTTCACAATCTTCATCACCGTCACCATCATCATCAGCATCACCATCATCATCATCATCATCACCATCATCATCATCACACTGCCGATTGCAATGCACACTGTGAAGTATGGAGGCGGTCTTCGCCACGACGGACTCTTTCGTCTATGTAGCAGACACCGGGCAACATCGTGTGGTGAGGTATCCACTTGCCGGCGGCGCAGGAGTCGTGGTGGCACCCAGGATTGCATTAAGTTATGATTTCTCTTCTTTCAAGCTAACCGTCGAGCTCAAATGGCTCTAATCGCCAGCGGCCCTTGGTCTGAGATCCCTTTTTCGGATAGACATTCGGCCAAGGAGGTCCTCGTCTGTGTGTGTCCGTAGGGGCTGCGAGGAACGGCCGCGGTTGCTGCCCAACGCTGGGCTTGGCGGGGTTTCGGGAATACCTATAGTCTCCATTGTAGTTCCTTGTTTTGGTCTAGCCAGTTTTATTTGTAGGATCCCAAAAGGTGACCCCCAAAAGGAACTACAATGGAGACCATAGGTAGGGTCATGTAGGGTCTCTCTGCATCCATCAACTCACAGAAGCCCTCCAGCGTTCTGAAAACTCGGACACTATCCCCTACACCCTTAAGCCCGAATTCGTAAACCCTTAAACCCTAAACCCTAAACCTAAACCCTAAACCCTAACCCTTAGCCGCAAAGGCTGGTGGCAACGGGATCGGCACGGCCCTTGACCAAACTTCGAGCCCCTCTGCGATCTATGTGGATGACAGCGAACAGGCTCCGGGTGTTCAGCTTGAAGGTTCCAGGGTTTCAGGGTTTAGGGGTTTGGATTTAGGATCATTTCAGGGTTTAGGGTCTCTAGTGTTTTTGGGCGAGTTTTTTTGGGTTTAAGGTCATTTCAATGTTTAGGGTTATGGGGCTTGTCCTTTGGCCAGGTATCCTAGTAGTCAGTAGCAGTGTTTTCACGTGCTTGTTCTTACGGCTTCCGATTGAAGTGCGCAACAGGACAAGTGGAATCCTTTCTTTCCTGAGCTACTGAGGAATCTAGCTCGAGTGCAGGTCATGAACAGCACATGCAACAACTCATCCTGCACTGCTACGACCATCAAACCTCCGCCAGAAGCATGCTTCTGCCCTTTTTGGGGGTTGCACATTCCGGAAAACACCGAACCATCCTGCATCATTTCAGGTGGGGGGCGTCCCCATTAGAAACATCTACGTCGTCGACACGGACAATCACCGGGTGGCAGCCTTATACCTTTTTTTCGGGCTGTCTATGCTCTAAACTAATCCCGAATATTGCCGAATATTCATTATGATTATACTTCAAATGTTGTTCCAGAAAGACGAAACGACAACAAGCAGTGTTTTGGGGCCCTTCTCCGCTTCGGCAGCACAAAAACCCCCTCTGTGTAAGGCATATATAGTTAGAACCCCTGCTTATGCGGATCCCCAGCTAGAATCCGTAAGGAGTGAAAGAAGCTGCAGAGGAAGCTTGACGCCACTGCCAGCACCCAATGGAAGACAATGCAGCCTTACAGTCCTGACAGCCTAATTCTCTCCAAAGGCTGGGCTCGACATGCATGCTAACACCCGACTACGGTCCTACGGGTCCTGACGACTGTATGTCCCTTTCAAGCAAAGTAAATCTCTACAGGACAGGCGCGACACCTCCAGACATCGTCCCGGCCGCAAGGAAGCTTAAAGCCCCAAGTTCTTGAAATGAAGTGACAACCCAATTGACAGTTTGGGGTTTTGGGTTTAGGGTGCCAGGTGGCAAAAGTCCGGGAGTCCGATGGCAGCACGTCCCTGGCGGCTGGGGGCTGCCTGGAGAACCCGAGCTACATCGACCCCTGCATCGAGGTTCCGAGCTTGGGCTCTATAGGTCCTAAGAAAGGGGCACGAGGAGGGGGGGAGAGGTAGGGGAAGTGGGGTCTTCCATGTCCGAGAATGTAGCAACATGTACAACCTCGACTACTTTCCTTCACCCTACGCCCCAGATCCTGCAATTCTGCAAAACCGACAGCCACGTGTGCAGGCAGAGTCTCAGTTACCCTGATGTTCCCGACGTCCAAAACAAGACAGACGAAACCTTGTAGCCTACACTACGCTGAAGATCAGTTGTTGAGTTCACGAGACATGCAGGGTGGGGTGCACGATCCACCGCGACCGCATCCCGACGACGAGGAAGCGCTGTAACCTCACCATCACTGCTCCTTTTGATCGGGGGCTGTAGGGTCTTAGTGCACCAGGGCATCCTTAAGATTCAGCGCTGTGGTTGCCATGGTCCGGGTCCTTTATCAGGGTCATGAACATTGCGATTGCCTTCGGCTTTTGGAAGGATTCCCATCTTGCTCATCTTACGGTTGTTATCCCCGAGTTTAGGCTTTAGGGTTTAGGGTTCCTAAACCCTAAACCCTAAACCCTAAACCCTAAAACCCTAACCCGAGCCTTGGAGACCCAAGAGCTTTCCTGCCAGCTCGATGCCTGCTCGATATCAGGAGGCCTTGAACCCGTCCTACGACAATCCGCCCATCTACCACTTCTGGGGTCCCTCAGGCGGGTTTCGGGCCGTTTAGGGCCGTTTAGGTTTAGGGTTTAGGGTTTGGGGTTTGGGGTTTGGGGTTTAGGGTTTAGGGTTTGGGGTTTAGGGTTTAGGGTTCAGGATGTAGGACCCTACTTTGAAAATAGGTTCTTGTAATCGGTCCTCGAATGCAAATCGATCTTCCAGGTGAGAGATGTTCCGTTCCTGCCACCACTCACGGCTGTATACCGGAGCTATCGCGAAGAAAGAATGGAGCTAGTCGGGGCCCGTACCTCGAAGACGTCATGATCATTAGACTTATACTTGTTAACATTGTTATAAGTAGTGTATTTACTATAATTATCGTGATAAGCCTCTGAACCCGAAACTCGGAGTTCAGGTTGTATTTAGGGCCTAGGGTTTTGGGGTTTAGGTTCTATTTACGGTTTGGGGTTTAGGTGTTTTCTCAGGGTTGTGGGGTTTTGGATTTATTTAGGGTTTGGGGCCCAGGATTTTTGGGGGTTTAGGGGTTTAAACTCATTTCAGGTCAAACAGACCCCGCACTCCTGGGATCCCAAGTACGAGGGCGAAATCTCACTGCAGACCCTAAACCCTAAATCCTAAACAACCCTAAACAAACTAGCCTAAACTACCCGAAACTACCCTAAACCCTAAACCAAAAACCCGCCCTAAACCCAAGACCCCTAAAAGACTGCAGCCATGCGCTGGAGGCCTGCATGTGAACTCGGGGATCAACAAGAACCTGGGCTTTGGAGCACCAGACTTTAATACTTTTTTGGGGGGACCCGTTCCTTAAAGGAACCATTATGAAGTAAAAGTCTATACTTTTTCCCTTAAGCCCTAAACCCTAAAACCCTAAAGCCTACAACCCTAAACCCTAAACCCTTTTTTCTCCTTGGTGTTGCTTCAAAGCCCAGGAACATCACGGTCGCGGACACGTTGAACCACAGGGCTCGGCTCTGAGGATTCATGAGGGAAAAAATGTAGAAGTGGGTTTTGGGGTTTGGGGGTTTAGGGTTTAGGGTTTAGGGTGTAGGGCTTGGAGTTTAGGGTTTAGGGTGTAGGGTTCAGGGGTTCAGGGTTTAGGATTTAGGGTTTAGGGGTTTAGGGTTTAGGTTTTAGGGTGTAGGGTTTAGAGTTTGGGGTGTAGGGTTTTAGATTGTGCATGAAAGCTGTCATGTTGGGCACCGTGGCTATCGAAACGGTGCCAAGATGTACTAAGTATCCTTGCGTACTCTTTGCTGCTCCCGACTCTCCACATGATCCCAAAGCAGGTCTGGAAACTCGAGAATCGTGCGCTGAGGTCCTGGTGTGGTATTCCTGAGCATCCGAAGGCTGACGCAAACATCATGGATCAGAGCATGTGCTAAAAGGACTCTTTCTCCAGTGTCTGCGGGCCTCTCTGGATCCTCGGACTTTTCTCCTGGTGGAGGTTTTTCCGATCGAGCAAGAACGTGAAGAGAAGGATCAGCGACCTTTCTTGGTTGAAATCCTCACAAATCTCCACGAGCTGCAGCAGGCGACGCTGTGCAGGACATCATCTGAAGCTGCAATGGGATGAAGACAAAGACAAAGGCTCGAGCTCGCGATGCAGTACCACCGCTCTGTACCTAGAAGAACACTGGAGTGGAGATGCACCGAATGTGTGTCTTCGCCAGGAATGAAGTGGACACCACGTTCTTTAGATGGCGCTTGCAACGCTATATGACACCACTGACTCTCGCTGGCCCAGTGTGCACTGATCTCCACGTCCTGAAATTCTCCAGCTGCATACGATGTCAAGAATGCCGGATGTAGGACACGCACATCTTGAAGCATGAGCCGGCAACCTCGGGCTCCAGCTACCCAAAGTAATGAGTTACTGCGCTACATAGTACATGGTTGAAATACCACAGTCTAGCAACCTACTATTTTAGGTAACTGGAGCCCTAGGGGAAGGCCTCCTGGAGCTAAGGGGACGTCGAGCTTCCGCTCTTCAACACACTTGCCTGCCCTTAATTGAACACTGTATTTTTTTCATAAGTCAGGTATGTATGTATGTATGTATGTATGTATGTATGTATGTATGTATATATATATATGTATATGTGTATAGATAGATTAATGGAGGTGTGTGGCTAACATTCGCTTAAGAATCCGTTTCAAACATGAGAAAGGCTGCTTTAGGTGTTTAGGGTTTAGGGAGATTAGCCCCTTTACCAAAATTTTCGGGGATGCATATATCTGTTAGCATGGTCATGTGCGCAAGAAAAAAAGCTCAACAACTTATATGCCACTCGCGCAACTTTCCAGCCACACTTGCCTCAAGCGCTGGCATCCCGAAGCCCTTAAAGATAGGGGCCTTAATTAATTACCTATACTATTTTGGGGGTTCCTCATTATAATTATAGTATAGTATACCCCAAAACCCTATTCTAATTATTAAGGCCCCTATATGATCGGAAAGTTGTTTGAAGGAGCAGCGTCTCACTCAGCTGAAGACTTTCACTCATAGTGCCCTAGAAGCCCAGTTGCCGAAGTAATGGATCATTTACTATGCTATGCATTTGTATGTGGAAAGAGAGAGACAATTATACTATATTATATTATATTATATTATATTCAATTAGATTATATGCATATATATATATATATATAGATAGACATATTTATGTTTGTATGTACGTGTATATACCCATGGGAGTTACATACAGGGACCGTGGCCTGCGAATTGATTAACCGGGCTTCTGCTAAGACTTGCCTGGCCTATCGCTTCAAAAGCCGTACTGCAACGGTCGTGCCATGCGGTACGATCTCGCCACGTCTCTTGTTGGCACTGGCTTCGAACTTGATACCAGGAGACAAACCTCCGATCAAGTTGTACTGCCAGTCACGTCATGTATCTGCATATGCCAATGATCATTGCAATGGTTTCTCCGTCCTAGTTGCATGTAGAGATGCGCCTCTGCGTCTCTGTTCAGGTGGGCGTCCAGTACGGTCTTTGCAAGCTTCTCGGCCGCTCTTGAGAACGTTTTCACAACAAGTATGGCCTATTGTTGTGAGAATCGGAGGGTATGGTGATCAAAGGATACAACTTTCAACCTTCGTACACTGTTCAAAGAAGGAATCCGACCCAAATTTTGGTCTTAAGAGGGGCTGCCGTACAAAAACCGGCCAAGGCTGGTAGACAAGTGCATCGAACTCATTGCGCGGATCCCGGCACGATTCGGGATGCGGGCTTGGGGCTTGTTGTACTCCTAACCCTGTAAGCTTTGAGAAGTTATAGCCCGAAGACCCTATAAATCCCATAAGCTGATGAGGGTTCAATATGATGCCTTACTAGCTTCATGGGTTCAGGATTTTGCATTAGGTCTCTAGTCCAGCTATTGGGGCAGGGCTCATAGCGCTCGGGGTTTACTCCTTATGGCATCTAGGGTTGAAGACTCCCAGAACTTCAGGGCTCCGCCTTGACTTTGCGCCGAACAACTTGGGGATGGTTCTTGATTTGAGCTCTCTTGGATGGAGGCAGCTGCTTTTAGAATATAGGGGCCTAAAGAATTACCAATGTTTTTTTGGGGGTTTCCTTATGAATATAGTATATGAATATATTATGATGGGCCCCAAAACCCCATTCTGACTATTTAGGCCCCTACATTAGTCGTTTATGTCAATATCTGGTTATTCTCGTTGTTTTCGTAAGGGGCCCGAAAGGGACTGCAGTTCAGCACTAATCCGCATGGCTTGGGTTCTTCCGCGGCGTCTCCAGGTCACCGATGATCATATCCTCGACTCAGAGGACACTGTCACTTTGGTTGCAGGGTCTATGGTAGACGCCCAAAAGTTGGAAACCCAATACCCTCAATCCTTAAGTGAGTAATGTATAGGGAATCCCAGCACTATTTGTCCTTAACCCGGTTTCCAACTTTTTGGGGTTATTTAGTATAGACTGCAAGGTACGGTACTTGACGAGGCCAGTTCGACAGACAGCACTGCTGATGGACACAATCCTGCAGTATCCATTGTTGACTATACCATAACTCCCATAGTCTAGGGTGCTTAAGGTACCAGTAGCGCCCATAACTCCCATAGTGTAGAGTGCTTAAGGTAATGCCGCAGTTTGTTCATCAGCGCCCCCTCTGTTCGAAAAGCACAGAGAATGCCAAGGCCCCACCTGAAGTTAAGATCCAACATTTTACATTTCAGGGTAGTTTGGGCATCTAGGTTGTTCCCCAAACCGTAATTAACCCCCAAACTCTAAATCTAAAAGCCTGAGCCATACATCTAAGCCTGAAGCACATGCACCCCAAGCCCAGATATCCTTCAATCTCGATGCTCTCAGCCTCAACACACCCTCGAAGGCTGACCCTAGATTCTCGGGTTTGAAGTTTAGGGGTTTAGGGTTTAGGGTTTAGGCTTGTCAGCTACAACAAAGAGGAATCTCAGCAGACCCGGAACTATAAACCTTGAACCCTGAAACTTTGCCCAGCACTCGCACCATCTCGCACCCCTTCGAAGAACAGGAATTACCGCGCCTCCCTGTCCTGACATCTTGCCCTGAATGAAGTCAGCCAATGCAAGACAATGGATGCAAAGAGGATTAGGATTTAGGGCTTAGGGTTTAGGGTTTAAGGACTTAGGGACCACGTGGCCTCCAGCCTAAGCTTGCAACATTGGAGCAACTTAAGCTCGCACCACTCCAGGATTTCAATGCGCTGTCCCAAGCGGCTGTGGTGGAGATGGTTGGATCCTCACCGGAGTCCTTACCCATGCGGCCTTCTCTGTAGCTGTCCTTCTTCCATGATGCCAACAGGGCTAGTGTCAGCCTCGTACCCTAAACCCTAAACCCTAAACCCTAAACCCTAAACCCTAAACCCTAAACCCTAATCTGTGTCAGTATTTATAGCTTTACTTTGTGGCAAGCCAAGCCACAACCCCTAAACCCTGGAGGCCTTAAATCCCAAACCCTTACAAATCATGGTTTATGGTTTGGGGTTTAGGGTTTAGGGTTTAGGGTTTAGGGTTTAGGGTTTAGGGTTTAGGGTTTAGGGTTTTAGGGTTTAAATACCAAACCCCAAACCCTAAATCCCTGAACCCTGGAGGCGATACATCCCAAGGTCTACTCGAATCCAAACCCTGAGCCCTAAACCCTAAACCCTAAACCCTAATCCTGCCCAGGCCAAGCATGACGCTTGGAACCTTCATGAGGATGGTATCTACGACGTGCTCATGCGCTGGGCACCTGGCAGGGGGTGAGTCAGTCTTCAGAGGTTTAGGGTTTGGCGGTTTTGGGGTTTAGGGTTTAGGGTTTTAGGGTTTAGGGGCTTTGGGGTTTAGGGTTTGGCGGTTTTGGGGTTTAGGGTTTAGGGTTTTAGGGTTTAGGGGCTTTGGGGTTTAGGGTTTGGCGGCTTTGGGGTTTAGGGTTTAGGGGTTTAGGGTGTAGGGGTTTAGGGGTTTAGGGTTTGGCTTAGGGTTTGGCGGCTTTGGGGTTTAGGGTTTAGGGGTTTAGGGTGTAGGGGTTTAGGGTTTGGCGGTTTTGGGGTTTTGGGGTTTAGGGTTTAGGGGTTTAGGCTTTAGGGGTTTAGGGGTTTAGGGTTTGGCGGTTTTGGGGTTTAGGGGTTTAGGGTTTAGGGGTTTAGGGGTTTAGGGTTTGGGGGTTTTGGGCTTAGGGTTTAGTTGATAGCACAGGTTCTAACACAATCGTGGAGGGTCTGCCGTCCTGCCAGGGTAATATCCAAGGACTATACTGGACTTCAAGATCAAACCTGCAGACTCCAGAACATCCCGTTGACGAATCCTGGTGGAAGGGCTACTGGAAGGTTTATTGGAGAACCCTAAACCCTAAACCCTAAACCCTAAACCCTAAACCCTAAACCCTAAACCCTCAGCCGTAAACCTGAACCCTAAACCATAGGGTCGAAGAGCATCATGTTGCCCCAAAGACGCTGGAAGACCACATCTGGGCAGTTGCTTGAGTGATTGTGGGACTCTATGATGTAAGAGATTAGTGCATTTTTTATACGTACTATACCTATATTATACATTGTAAATCATCTATATTCATTGGCACTACCAAGATCGCCGCTGTGGGGTCTTCTACATGAGGGGTTCCGAAGGTCCCTGGTAAAATACAGTATAGGTTTAGGGTTTAGGGTTTAGGGTTTAGGGTTTAGGGTTTAGGGTTTAGGGATAGGTGTCTGAACAGTTTGTATTCGCATCGGCATCTTTTCAGACCCATACTCTACAAAGCTATACTATGGTAAACCCCCAGACCCTATCTCAACTATTAATAATAAGGCCCCTACAGCAATCATCTCCTATTATCACCCTGTCCCTTCTAAGGTCCTG